ACCGTCCAGCAGACCGTGAAGAACACGACGGCTACAGTTCCGGATGGCGCGCGGCCTGACAGCACGGGCTCTATGCTCTACAAGAAACCGTACATCGTCAAGGCTGGCGAAGTCTTCGATGGCTTGATGAAGACGTACGAATGCTCGGACATCACATGCTCGGGAGGCGAGGGCCAGAAGGACACGGCTGCGCCCTCGCGGAGGCATCCTGAACAACGCCATCATCGGCAAGAACCAGAGAGAAGGCGTGCACTGCGACGACCACAACTTCACCACTGAGAACGTCGCTATAATCAAGCAGCTTTGTATGTGGCGTGTAATGCGATGAAGGTTCGTTTAGAGGGTGAATTACAGCTCGAGGCCAACTTCGGAGGCTCATTTGTAAAAAAAAAAAAAGAGGAGGATCTAACTGCGTGTCCGAAACACTAAGGTAAATCGAATTTGGAAACGATATACACCAGCACAAGAACATATTCGATTCATTAATCACATATCAATATCCGCCATAGAATTTCCTCCGATATCATCTTCATTGTTTACTAAGTCTTCGTCATCGTCTCCATCACGCACATCCATATCCCCATCGTGTGCGTCTGGAAACATGTCATCCGCCAAGTGATCTCGAATCGGTTCGCCTGTTCTCGAGGCTAAGTTTGAGTAGACAAAGACAAGTTTCTCTACTCTTGATGCATGCAGTCGGTTTCTCCTCTTTGAGTGTATGAAGTCGTGAACGCTCCAACACCGTTCACTTGACGCGGACGAAGTTGGGATTGAAAAGATCATGTCCGCAACTTGCTTTAACAGTGGAAATAGTGCACGGCCGCGAATCTTCCAGTAACTTGAAGGAGACATGGGGATAGTAGATGGCGCTATTCCCCTTTCTGCCAATGAAAATCGCTGACATGCCCAGGCCTCAACCGCGGCTTCATATTTGTGCACTGTATCTGGGTCTGTTGCATCCCCTTTAGCCATATCAACCAATTCGCGCATGGCTAATGCGAGATCACCTTCTTCGCTTGGATCGTTTGCGTTAGCAAACTTGGTGATATCGGTGGTCTGATCCAGTAAGTAGGCAACTCGCATGGAACTTGACGTGATGAAGTCACGGCTGCTTTCAACCAAATCCAAGATTTCACGCTGAATCTCACCATATTGGACCCTTTCATCCACGCTGACTCCGACGACGGGCATACTGTAGGCTGCGTTCTCTTTGAAGGCGACGAACTCAGAGTAGACGGACGACAGGTAAGTGCTGTCACTTTCACATACAGCCAGACTTTTGTTGATTGGCGCTAAGAGGTCCAATGTTCGTTTGGCCCCAGACTAGCGTTCATCGTCAGCAACAATTGCTGCAACACGATCTGCCTCGGGTCTCTGTGCCTTGGTGTTGTACGGTTTCAGTAGCTGGGTGTCAGCAAAAATGGAGCGGATAACAGTCTCATTCCTTGATACACTGCGAATACATTTCTCCACAGTGTACCAGCGTATTGGGATAGGAACACTTAGCGCCATCCTTCTCTCGCCCTTTTTCAGGATAGCCTTCTGCTGCGATCGAAAGCGATCTAAAAGTCCATGCCTCGCGCGAACAAACTTCGCCACACTTTTGGAAATGTCACGAACGTTAGCAAGGCGGTTTATTTTCATGACATCTTTCATCAGTAAGTTAAATGCGTGTGCGGCGCATCCATTACAGTAGACGTATGGCCTCTTTTATTTCACTTGCTGTCATGCTGACTTCATGTTTTTTGCATTGTCAGTGACAACAGCGCAAATAGCCCCCTTCCTCCCAATTGTCGTCTCTACCTCGTCGATAACTCGATCAATGCAATCGGCAATGTATATCCCCGTGTGCTCCTCTTCACCCGTGGTAATTGATGACCAGAAACAGGCTTCATCGTTGGTGAAACCAGCATGATGCTAGTGTTATTAGGATCCGACCACACGTCTGTTGATAGGGCCAAGTATTGTTGCTGCTTGAGCTGCTCTACAATGTTTTGTTTGTGCTTCTTGTACGTTGTTTCAAGCAGGGGTCCTGCAATACGCTGTCGCGAGGGTATCTGGAACGAAGGGCAAGCTTTCCCAAAGAAGCGCTTCACGGATGGATCCTCCACAATTCGAAACGGAATCCCAGTTGCGTAGAACAGTTTGGCAAAGTCTAGCTCAAGTTCCTCTTGAGAAATAAACTTTTCTGAGGACTGCCCGGAGGATCCAGCAGGAGTAAACAGTTGTCGTCGTGTCTGAGAAATCGGTGGGGATCGAAAACCAAAGGCCCTAACGACGCCTTGAGGCGCCTTACCGCACTTCTTCGGGTTACTAAGATGGT